TCCTATTTAACATTGTGCTGGAAGTACTAGTTAGAGCAATAAGGCAATAAAAAGAAACAAAGGGCATCCAAATTAGTAATGAAGAAGTTAAACTGTGTCTATTTGAAGACAATATGATACTATACATAGAAAACCCAAAAGACTCCATGATAAAACTACTGGAACTAATAGAAAGATTCAGTAGAGTAGCAGCATACAAGATAAACATACAAAAATCAGTTGGATTCCTATACGCCAATAAAGAGAACAATGAAAAGGAAATAGGAAAACAATACCATTTACAATAGCCCCTAAAAAAATAAAATATTTAGGAGTAAATCTAAGCAGGGATGTAAAAGACCTATACAAAGAAAACTACAAAATACTACTGTGAGAAACCAAAAGAGATCTACACAAATGGAAAAACATACCATGTTCATGGATAGGTAGACTGAATATTGTTAAAATGATAATTCCACCCAAAGCAATTTACAAATACAATGCAATCCCAGTCCAAATACCAACAACATTCTTTAAAGAGAAGGAAAATCTAATTATTAACTTTATATGGAAAGGGAAGAAGCTCCGGATAAGTAAAGCACTGTTGAAGAAGAATAAAGTAGGGGGACTTGCACTACCTGGCTTCAGAACAGCTATGGTAGTCAAAACAGCCTGGTACTGGTACAACAACAGAAACATTGACCAATGGAACAGAATTGAGAACCTAGATGTAAATCCATCCACCTACAGTCACCTGATCTTCGACAAGGGTGAACAGGCAGTCTTTTTAACAAACGGTGCTGGCAAAACTGGATATCCATCTGTAAAAAAATGAAAAAGGACCCACACCTCACACCATATACAAAAACTAATTCAAAATGGATCAAAGACCTAAATATAAAGCCAAAAACTATAAAGTTCAGAGAAGAAAAAATAAGATCAACACTAGAGGCCCTAATACATGGCATTAACAGTCTACAAACCATAACCAACAACACACAAACTCCAGAAGATAAGCTAGATAACTGGGATCTTCTAAAAATTAAACACTTAATGTTCATCAAAAGACTTCACCAAAAGAGTAAAAAGAGAACCTACAGAATGGAAAAAAAAATCTTGGACATTACAAGTCAGAAAAAGGTCTAATCTTTAAAATCTACAAGAAAATCCAACACCTCTATGACAAAAACAGAAATAATCCAGTTAAAAAATGGGCAAAGGAAACGAAAAGACACTTCACCAAAGAAGACCAACAGACACTTGAGGAAATGCTCGCGATCACTACCCATAAGAGAAATACAAATCAAAATCACAATGAGATACCATCTCACCCAGGCATTACCAGTACAAATCAAAAAAATTGGAAATAACAAATGTTGGAGAGGCTGTAGGGAGATTGGAACTCTTATGCACTGCTGGTTGGAATGCAAAATGATACAACCATTTTGGAAAATGATATAGCGCTTCCTTAGAAAGCTAGAAATAGAAATAGCATACGATCCAGCAACTCCACTTCTAGGAATATATCCTAGAGAAATAAGAGCCATCACAAGAACAGGCATATGCACTCCATGTTGATTGCAGCATTGTTCACAATAGCAAAAAGATGGGAACAACCTAGATGCTCATCAACAGATGAAAGGAAACAAACTATGGTACATACACACAATGGAATATTACACAACAATAAAGAACAATGATGAATCTTCGAAGCATCTCATAACATGGGTGAAACTGGAGGACAGTATGTTGAGTGAAATAAGTCAATCACAAAAGGACAAATATTCTATGAGACCACTATGTAAAAACTCATGAAAAGGTTTACACACAAAAAGAAACAATCTTTGATGGTTACGAGGGATGGGAGGGGTAGGGGGGGAATACTAAATACACAATAGGTAAGTGGTAACTTTGATGAAGGTAAGACAGTACACAATACTGGGGAAGTCAGCACAACTTGTCCATGGCAAGGTCATGGAAACTCCATAGACACATCCAAACTCCCTGAGGGACTGAATTGCTGGGGGGAGGGCTGTGGGGCCCATGATTTTGGGAAACATCTAGCTCAAATGGCATAACATAGTCTATAAAGAAAATGTTCTACATTCTACCTTGGTGAGTAAAGTCTGGGGTCTTAAAAGCCTGTGGGCAGCCATCTAAGATACGCCACTGGTCTCACACTTTCAGGAGCAAGGGAGAATGAAGAAAATAAGACACAAGGGAAAGATTAGTCCAAAGGACTAATGGACCACAACTACCACAGCCTCCACCAGGCTGAGTCCAGTACAACTAGATGGTGCCTGGCTACCACCACTGACTGCTCTGACGGGGATCACAACATAGGGTCCCAGACAGAGCTGGAGAAAAATTCTAACTCACACAAAAAGATCAGACTTACTGGCCTGACAGGGACTGGAGAAACCCTGAGAGTATGGCCCCTGGACACCCTTTTAACTCAGTAATGAAGTCACCCTTCAGCCAAAGATTAGACAGCCTCATAAAACAAAACGAGACTAATGAGGCACAACAGCCCAGGGACAAGGACTAGAAGTCAGGAGGGGACAGGAGAGCTGGTAATAGGGAACCTGAGGCCGAGAAGGGAGTGTTGACTTGTCGTGGGGTTGTTAACCAATGCCATAAAACAATATGTGTACTAACTGTTTGACGAGAAACTATTTGTTCTATAAACCTTTATCTAAAGTACAATAAAAAAAAAAATTAAAAAAAAAAAAAGAATGATTTCAGCCTAGGAAACCCTATGGGGCAGTTCTACTCTGTCCTACAGGGTCACTATAAGTTGGAATCAACTTGACAGCACACAATAACAATCACAAGAAACACAACTCTTTGAGCATAGGGGACCTGGTAATGCAACGGGTTAAGCTGCTAACCAAAAGGTTGTTGGTTAGAACCCACCCAGTGGCTTCCCAGGAGAAAGACCTGGTCTTGTAAAGATTACAGCGTAGAAAACTCTATGGGGCAGTTCTACTCTGTCACGTGGGATTGGTATGAGTCAGAAATGACTC